ATATATATATATATATATATATATATATATATATATATATATATATATATGTATATATATATATATTTAGATATGCATCATGTTTAATAACAATGTGTTTGTTTAGGTGCATACTCTGAGGATGCAGATAATTTCTCAGAATCAGAGATTATAAGTGGTAAGTCTTTTTTTTTTTGTCATACTTTTTCTCTGTATCCCTAATTCTAAAATAATGCCTGTTGTTCCTCCAGATCTTACTAAAAATCAGAAGACACACCAGCCCCAAACAGAACCAGAGTCCATACATGGTAATTTTAGTACCTTCTTACACCTCTATAACCAGAGTTCTAAAAGTGAAAAAATAAATATAAATAAACATTTACTATGTATCTATTTTCTTATAGATAACCAGGAAAACCGCAGGAGGAATCATTTGTCGCTCACTAAAAAAAGAAGACATGTCTCTGATCCTATAAGATCATCAAGTACAGGAGTACAGAGTAAGTTTTATAAAATAGTCTATTTGAACTGCCTAGGAAAACTGGTTTTCTATCAACGTATTTCTCTTATCATCCACAGCTTTGGCCTGTAATGAAGATTCTGTAATTTACATCTCATCTGACTCGGAAGACGAGTTCGCGCCTCAAGAAGGATCCAACTTACCTTCCAGGCAGAGAGTTGATGCCATTAGCATCACGCCTCCTCCTTCAGCAGACCAAGAAGGTGGATTGACAGCGGATCCGGAACCAGAACCGCAGCCTGAAGTAGAATCAGAACCAGAAGCAGAGAGGCCTTCTGGTCCTCCTCCTGGGCCTGAACCAGAACCTGAACAAGAACCAGGGCCAGAAGCAGAGAGGCCTTCCGATTCTCTTCACAGGGGTAAGTTTTATGTATTTGTTTTTAAACAATAACAGTAATTATTAGCATACATACTAAACTTTAGCTGAATGGATGAAAGATATATATTTAAACAAAGTGTTGTAATTAAATTAACTCCTTGAATGAAAAAATAACTCCTTGTTCCATAAGAGACACAGGCTGACAGAGAAACCAGAGACCTGCTGCATGTGTATCTGTCCTCGAGGGGGGGGAAGAGTCATGCTGCTGCTGTGTGTGCGTGTGTGTGTGTGTGTGTGTGTGAAATCTCAGCAGACCATAGTATAAACTGTAATAAAAGCCTTCACTAAACTTTAAACTTTTACATGAATGAATGAAAGATATATACTATATTTAAACAAAGAGACACACGGACTGACAGAGAAACCTGAGAGTAGGGTGGGGAGAGTCATGCTGCTGCGTGTGTGCTGGTTCTTGCTCCATGTGCGTGTGCGTGTGTGTGTGTGTATCTATCCTCGAGGAGGAGAGACTTACTGGTGTGTGTGTGTGTGTGTGTGTGTGTGTGTGTGTGTGTTGGTGAATTTGATTTAGCAGGACATTTTGGACAGAATACAACACTAGAAGAACTTTTTTTTTTTATTGTCTCTCTATTGCACCAAAATCTGTAGAGCTGTGTGTATGAAATCTCAATACACATTCATTATATTTCACAGCTTCCAGAGCCCGAGCAATACTATGGAAGAGGAGAGCACACAATCTGCAAGCCAGAGCCATCTTGTTGGATGGACTGATTACAGGTATATTATTTGATTTTATCATCTAAAATCACATTTCACAGCTGCTAGAAATTTATTCCTGATTATTTATTTATTTATTACAGAATCTCTGTGGTTTCTGGAGAAACGTACAGGGTCCGGAAGACGCGCTTCAACATTCTATCGCTCTATGACTGCGAGAGCTAAGTTACTTCTACAAGCAACCAAAATTCTGGTCGACAATGTCTACTCTGATGCAAAGTTGATTGAGAAATGATTCATGTTTGATCTGTCTCTTATAACTCTGTGAAATATGGATGACCGAGAAGGTAGAGTTGAATTCAATGAAGCTTTTCAAAATCCTGAATCTCAGTCAGATTATTCCCAGCAAATTGTTAATGCCATACAGATTCTGCAAACATTTGCTTCAACATTGAATACTGCTGAAAATAACGACAGCATTTTACAGAGACCTGCTTTTAGCCCTGCTTCTAGCCCTGCAAGATCACCTATTTTAAACCAGTCTGAAGTCTCAGAATATTTCAGACAAATTAATGATGCACTTCACGGTTTAAATAGTTGTCTTTCTCCACAAAACTCACCTGCCACCTCACGTGCTGGGTCACCCACTGCCTCACCCACTACCTCACGTGCTGGTTCATTTAGGCTGGACGAAGCTTTTCAAAATCCTGAATCACACCCCGGGTTAGTATCTGCAGCAGTTGATCAAGCACAGCAGCAACAACAGCAGCAGCAGCAACAGCAGCAGCAGCAGCAGCAAGGAGCTGGTCTAAACCAAAGTCAGAGGGTTGAACGCCAACGATTCAATAACATTGAAATAAGGAGACCGTTATCAATCCCGCCTCCAACTCATGCTGTACCTGACATTGCTCATTTCTACTCCGCAGTTATGAATATTTTAATCGATCTGGCTGACACTGCAGGATCATTGGATGCACGTAATGATCTGGTACAGTTAGAGTTAGTGGGGGGTAATAGTTCTCATCACATAACTGTTTCTGTTACTGATGATGATGCAATCCTACCAGCATTTGAGGAATTTTTAAGTGAGCTGGTTCAATCTAATGCTGAGCTGCCTTCAGAAAATAACTTAGAGTTGGTTCTTCAGATAGTTAAGAATCCCACAGGAGGTACAAAACGCAAGGCTGAAAAAACATTGGAATGTGAATTGATTCATAAGAAAAGGTGCCACCTGTATATTGTACAAAATACCGGTATATCAGTTGTGTTTTGCAATATGCCTCGCACGCCTCACTCATCCAGAATTTACAGATAATCAATCTCTTGTACAGGCTAGACAGTGGCAGCAACAGGCAGGTTTATCTGACCAGACACCAGTTACGTTCAGTGACATTACCAAGTTTGAAAACATTGTACAAAGAAAAATTGTAGTGTTTCATCAAACCTCAAAGAATGGGGCTTTGTCTAAATTTGAGACAGATTTTCAAAATCGAACAGATCCCTGCTTTCTCCTACTCCATAATAAACATTACTATGGAATTAAGAATCTCACAGGTTTTACCGGCTCGAGGTATATTTGCAAGTTCTGTTTCAGCGGTTACAGAAATGCTAACACTCATCACTGTCAGGGTTACTGCGGTGTCTGCTGTAGCTACAGCTGTACACATTTGCAGTACAATCCAGTACCTTGTCAAGATTGTAATAGAATCTGTCGAAACTCAACATGTTATGATAGACACAAAGAACCTCGCAACAGACCTCATGCTGACATGCTTGTGAGCGAATGCTCAAATTTGATGATCAAATGATCAAAATGATCAAATTTTGTTCTACATGTAAAAGGTTATATCACATCCCCATGACCAAGGAGAAAACCTTACATGTATGCGAATCAAAATGTGGGATCTGTGGAGAAAAAAATCTACCACCTGGTACAGACGTAACTCTAAACGATCATCTGTGCTACATTCAAACCGCTACTGTCGATGACAAACTTCATGACAAACTCGTGTTCTACGATTTTGAAAGCTATTTTGATCAGAGCGGTACACATATTCCGTTTCTAGTCTGTTCCAAAACAGTGAAAGGTGTTGAATGGCATGCTTACGGCTTGGGTTGCGCGCAACAATTTCTTCTGCATTTCAGAAGACCGATGTACAAGGGTTACACCTTCATAGCCCATAACGCACGGGGGTACGATAATTATTTACTCCTGAATGCTATGGTGCAGTTGGGCATAAAACCATATCTGATCATGCAGGGAGGGAAAGTGCTCTGTTTTACAGACCCTGACTACAAGTTAAAATTTATTGACAGCCTGTCATTTCTAACTATGAAACTGAGC